CCAAATCAAACTCTTTTTGTTCTTACTTTTTCTTTTTCTTTTTCTCAACGCAAAAACTTAAACCAAAGAAATAAAAGAAAATGCTTTTGTTCGTTTTTTTTTCCGTAAAAAAATATGAATGCACCAAGCACATAAACCATAAAATAAAATGCATGAGAACAAATAAATAAAAAAAATAAACATGATGCATACATAAATCCATGTCACATAATGACAAAGCACGAGCATGCACCAAACAAAAATACCTAATCAGTTAGGTATGCAAATGCTCTTATCTTTAAGAGCACTGTGATCTATTTCAAAATTTTTCAGATCACTCTTCTTCACCCAAACTTGCATAGTAACATGAATATTTCTATATATCTATGTTATAATCTTGGTCAATTTACTTACCTGATTAGTAAGAAGGTCAATCTGATCAACATAATCCTGATTCTTATTTCTATTTAAATTCTAGTTTCTATTTCTATTCAGGAAATGATGACATCTAGGCTTTATGTGTCCTAACTCACCATAATGAAAACAAGTAGGGATAAACCTAGGACCAATATAATGTGAATGCTGACGTCTATTCCTAGGTTGACAGTTCTTACGCTGTCTAGTAGACCTCTGTCTAACAAATCACTTATCCTTGAGATCAGGGTTAAGAATATCTTTGGGTTGGTCAGTGACATGGATAAATGTGGTCTTAGAAGTACTAGCAATGTTATCCTTAAAATCTAGACCTCCCTTATTTCCAGTCGGCTTGCCCATTCCTAAAATGTTGTCTAACTTTTCAGAACCATTAGAGAAGACAAGCAGTTGAGACTTAGAATATTCTAGATCTCTTAGAAGGTTCTTAACCTGGATTTCTAACGTCTCTCTCTCAATGGTCAACTCTTTGAATCTCCTAGAGGACTTCTCAAGTTCACTAGTGAGGTTCCTAACTTGAATATCTAAAGATTCATTCATGGATTTCACTTCACTCAGGATCGAGGTAGATTTCTTAATGTGTGTTACTAACTTCTCATTTTCCAATTCAAGTTCCTTATTTCTCACGCTCAAGGCTTTCTTCTTAGTGAGAATCCTAAGACTCTCCTCATACATCTTATCATAAGCCTCTCAAATATCTTTCTTACTCTCAGACTTTTCATCAGAATCCTCATCACTAACTAGGTCCTCTTTTGCACTCCCCTGGTCAGATTCATTACTAATTCTATTAGTAAAGGTAACATGTTTTCCACTTTCCTCACGAGTGGATTTCTCACTCTGATTATCTGAGCTAGACTCATTACCAATAAGAGTAGCATTCATAGTCTTATCCTGATTTCTCCTTCTGCTAGGGCACTCACTCTTAACATGACCAAACCCTCGACAATTATGGCACCTCACATATTTAGATTTTCTCCTAGATTCACTCAGGCCACCTTTGTATCTCTCTTGAGGGTTCTTTTTCTTCCTAAACATTTTTTGGAATTTATTAGCCAGGTAAGCTAACTCCTCATCGTCCGGCGAATCAGAATAAGAGGATTCCATCCAGGTGTTTCTCACGGATTTCAAGGTAAGAGATTTATCTGTAACAGATTTATCTAAGGTCAACTCATACGTCTGGAGGATCCGAATAACTCTTCTACCTTAATGGAGTCTATATCCTTACTCTCCTCAATAGTAGTGATTTTAGGCCTAAACCTTTCAGATAAGGATCTAAGAATTTTTCTAACAATTTTAGACTCCGGGATTCTCTTACCTAGGTTGAAACTAGAATTTATTATGTGATTTAAGCTCGCGTAGAAGGCATCAAACATATCATCTTCTCTCATTCTAATCTCCTTAAACCTAGTTGTCAACATCTGTAACTTAGAGTTCTTAACCGCCTAACTTCCCTCATGTGTGGTCTGTAGAATATCCCAAACCTCTTTGGCTATCTCACACATGGACATTCGCTTAAATTCTTCAGAGGACGCTGCTATAAATATGGCATGTAAAGCTTTGCTATTCTAGTTACACTCATCTAAGTTTGTCCTAGTCCAATTAGCTATAGGAGTGGGGGTCACTATGTTATCTACAGTAGTACTAGGGGCGCTCCAATAGTTCACCACACTCAACCAAATCCGTTCATCCATAGATTTTAGGAAATCTCTCATCCTAACTTTCCAATACACATAATTGCTACCATCAAAGTAGGGTGGGACAGACAATGAACTAACCATCTAGACAAATAGGGTCAGGAATCGAAATAAGGCTCTGATACCAATTGAGAAATGCAAGATTCGATCCTACTACACCTAGAGGGGAGGTGATTAGGTGTGAATGTAGAATTAAAATTTAATTAACATGCAACAAGCCACAAATTAATTATGTCTAGGTGATTAATCAAACAATTCAAGTTAACCTATTTTGAAATACCGCAGTAATCCAAAGCAGTAAATAAAGCAGTAAACAACATCAGAATTGTTCACGGAGAAACACAACATGGGAAAAAACTCCGGACACTTTACCAGTCAAAGATCCACTATAAACTGTCAATAAAACTTACAGACTACCAGCAAAGTTGACAACACAAGTTTTCTGATCTTTTATCTGAAATATGAAGCAGCCTTCCTAGAATGTACACACCAACACCAATCATAGCTCATCTTTGTAAAGCAGTCCTCCTGGAATGAGCACAAGAACTCCAATTCTAACTCTNGCGAGGAACTTTCTGCTTTAGTCGTTCGAACAACACTCCAACGAGCAGCTAGCGAAAATCAGGCGTGAATTCTTCTTGTTCCAAAATCATAACCCCAAACCCTAATCCTAATCTACCAACTATGAAACTTTACAATTTTGTCCCTAAACTTTTATAACTGTTCAACTTGGTCAATTTGTTCACAAAATCACCAATACAAAATATAAAGCTAACAATTTGGAAATATTGAACATTACAAATGGATGAACAGTAAAGATCTACCTTCAAATTTCAAAACGGAAGTGGACATATGAGTTTTCAGACTTAGAAACAATTTCTATTATGGGATAATGGAGCCTCGATGAATATATTTGAAGCTATGAAAGGCCACCATCCAATGGCCCAAAAAAAGCCACGTTTCTTCAGAAGATGGAAAGCTCACTCCATTAACAAAGTTGTCATTTGGGAATTAGTTTAAGGACATAACCACTGTCAAGATTGAACAAATTAAGACAATCTTTAATTTGTTTTAACTGTCAAAACTTTTATTAGTTACAGATTAAACAAATATTTAGTCTTTGAAGGCATAAAAAGAAAAGCTAATTGCGAGCTCTCTTGTATGAACTACTCTTTTGGCTCTTTACAGTGAGGTCAAACTTAATTCAAATCACACGTGCCATGTTATTTCTTTCAACGTTTGATTGTATTCTTTTTGACGATTAAAAAGTAATGAATAAAATATTTCATTAGCCAAGTTATGCATGCACCAGAAATTATTAAGATTGAATATTATTAAAGTTAAGGTTAAAGAATAATTATTATTGTTTGGCTTTAACTCTTTAGGTAACAAAATTCCAATTTACTTTTCTTCCTTCCATTTATTCTCCAAGTCTTGTCAATTGATAAGAAGTACAGGGGGCGAAGAGAATTAATATGTATAGAACATTTGGCTAAGCTAAAAAAGACCTTACTTTTAAATACAAATATTGAAAAAGTTAGGACCTACTCTTTTTATCATTTTCAAGTCGTTTTCTATTTTCGATTTTTCAAAACAGTAAAAACGCGTTCTTTTTCCTATTTTCGAAAACATGTTTTTGAAAATAAGTTAAAAATTTACAAAGAAAGTTAAAAATGACAAATTTATCGTTTTGAATGTTTTCAATTATAATCAAATCAAAATTTTCAAAACGCGTTTTGAGTGTTTTCAAAACAATTTTTCAAAATGGCAAAAAGAACACATTTTCAATAATTTCAAAATGGACACTCAAAATATAATACTGAAACACAAATAGAACATCCCCTTAGTTTTTGCTAAAAAAAGCTTGGTCGGACTTTAGTTTTAAGCGTATAGTTCTTACAACTTTTATCCACTTTTCACCACACATTTTATAAAACCTGTGAACCAATTTTTTATTAACTTTTAGCAACATTTCAAAGCTCCTGAGATATAATTTTAAGAAATTGCTCTATTAGTTCTCAACTTATAGATTTATTAACAAGTTGACCACAAACTTTAAAATGGAGAATTTTATCTTCAACTTTTCAAAATTTTACACTGTTAATTTGAATGACGAAAACAATTAAATCTTTGTTAAATTAGCACGTGGTCTCATGAAAATATTTCTCATATCAAACTTTAAGATACCAAACTAAGTTAGTGAACGAATCTAGTTTCATGAAGTTTAACATACGAGAACTGTGCGACAAACGTAAATTCTATCATTAAGATTTTGCAACTATAATCAAAGGTTGGGGACCAACTTTCTCATTTTTAAAGAATGAAGGTCAACCGGTGTTAGGACATGCAATATGTTGGCGACCAATATTGCAATTTTTCATATAATTTTACATGTCCTAAAAACCTAAACAAAACACATTTTTTCTAAAAAAAAATAAAGGTAAATTTAAATTTCCTAAAAAATAACTTTTAGGATCAGTGAAACGTGCTCTCGATGCGATAATTTAAAAAGATTCCTAGAATGGAACATAAAGTAGAATAGAGTTAAAGCACAACTCCTAGGAGGAATTTTTTTCCTTTTCTTACTGTCTCGTAGGGTAACAAAATCTATTTCTTTAAAATTGTGTCGAGCCCCTTTGAATATCACATTCGATTCGGTCTTAGAATCCAAATCTTTTACATCCTTGAAGAAACTTCCTCGCAAGCATGTATATGTGTGTACTATATATAATATATATAAATATATGTATATGTTACTATTTGCAACCGTCATCAATCTTGTATAAATGCCATGCCCATAATATGGAAGTTAACCGACAATCAACAAACTTTTCTCTAACACCAAATTTGAATTGCGAAACGATACAAATTTAATTCAACTTGAGCATCAAGGAAATGGAAGGAAGTTCTTCTAGTACAAGAGGTAAGGCCATGCAAGCTAAGGAAGAGAAAGGCAAAGAGGATGTCCGGTACCGGGGTGTCCGGAGGCGGCCTTGGGGGAAGTTTGCAGCTGAAATACGTGATCCCTCGAAGCAGGGAGCGCGCTTATGGCTCGGAACATTCGATAACCCTGAGGCCGCAGCCCGAGCTTATGACCGCGCCGCCTTTAGATTTAAGGGTCATCTTGCAATATTGAATTTCCCAAATGAGTACTACTCTCAACTCACTATTCCTCCTTATAATCCAACATTTACTAAATTTTCATCCTCGTCTTCATCGTATTCTCATCCAACGGCAGAAGGACAAGAGAAGATTGAGTTGGAATGTTTGGACGATATAGTTTTGGAAGAGCTTCTTGAATCCTCAGAAAAGAAGAAGAAATCAGAGAGAGATTGAGATTTCTACAAAGTTTTCCCTTTCATCTTGCTGTTTTCTGGTTGTGATTTTCAAGAATTTTGTCTTATGGTTCTTCGGAAGAATGAGATGGAGAATGAAAAGTACTTTTTCTTGTAAATGTCTGCTTAATTTTTGTCAATGTAAAGCCAAAACCCTGAAAATGTAAAACCAATTACCAGCAAATGGAAGAGGAGGTGACCAGATAAACTGAAGAAGCAAAGCAAATGGGGTAGTTTAGGGATACTATGCAGCCTAATGCAAAATTAATCGTCTTTTATGAGAGCCAGTGTGATGTTTTACCTCGCAAACCACAAAGAAATTACAAGTTCAAACGAATCAATTGAAAGCAAAACAAGAACAAATTAAAGCAACCAATTTGAAATTATAAAACTCCAATCAAGCTCCCTTTTAGTGGTGTGATTAGAGGCTCAGTTGATAGCCATCTCCACAAAGGCAACAATTCAAATTGGACTAAAAACTAAGTCAAAGACAACCCACAAAAGTTACCACAAAGGATGGACGAGAAGCCTCTCAAGTGGAGCAAGAAACATATCACCCAAATGAAGCAGAGAAAGGCACAGTTTGGCTAAAGAAAGGGGGCAACCGCTTAAATAGTACACAACTAGGTTAACACCGTCCTAAATCACCAAGCAACTGGGTCGAGCCTGTTTAACCTGCAAGTGATTTATTTAACGATCTTTAATCAATCTTTGCAATTGGGCTACGTATTTGTAGAGACGAACTATTTAGTTCAATCTTTCCTCCTCAGCTTTAATAAAGCCTATGAAGTGTAATATCGGCCCATTTAACATCATAGCCCCTAATGTTTGTTTGTGACCAAATTTCCCAATAGACCTCTACCTTGATTCCGAACAAATTGCAAAGACCAAAATACACATGCTTAGTAGTTGTCAAACTAAGTTCCAAACAAATTAGAACTTTACATGTACCGATGTTTAGAAGTGTAAGATAGCTTCTTAACTTTACCAAAGTTAGCACTTATGTGCCCACATTTGCGGCTTATAGCTTGAATGTACTTTCTTAAGTTTAATCACATCTTGAGATACAATGTTTTTAATAAAGTGTAGCCTAACATCTATATGTTTAGTCCGTTCATGAAAAATGTGTCTTTTACATAAATTAAAAACAGATCAATTATTAGAATAAACAATCACATTATCATTTAAAGCATTGAGTTCATAAGTAAACCTTTAAACCACAAAACTTCTTTAAAGGCTTCGGTGGCAACTATATGTTCAGATTCAGTAGTGGAAAGAGCAACAGTGTGTTAGAGTTGAGATTTCTATCTAACACCTGAATCTCCCAAAGTAAATTACATAAGAGGAAGTAGATTTCTTACTATCCCTGTCTCTACTATAATCAACATCAGTAAACCCTTAAGTTTTAAACCATTAGAAACAACTTTATAAGCTAACCCCACATTATAGGTACCCTTAAAATACCTAAGTAACCACTTCAAAACTTCCCAATGATTGGGATCTAGATTAGATATGTACATACTCAAGGTACTAATATCAAAGGCCAAGTCTAGCCTAGAACGCACCATCAAATACATCATAGAACCAATTACATTTGAATAAAAATGTTGCTCATATAAGCCGTTTCTTCTTCATTAGCGGGTGATTACTCTTTAAACAAAATAAAATGATTACCAAGCGATATAGAAGCATGTTTACAATTAATAATACCAAATTTCTTTAACATCTTAAGAACACTTAGATTTTGATGCTCAAATAAGCAAAAATTAGACATATCTCTATCAATTCCATGCCAAGTATTCTTTTAGCATGCCCAAGATCTTTCATATCGAATTCTTTGATTAATTTACTTTTAATCTTGTTTACCACTTTCATGTCAGAACCAATCAATAATATGTCATCCACATAAAGTAACAAATATGCACAATCATTTAAGTTGTGGTGTTGGTAATACAAGAAATGACCAAACGCACTCCTCTTAAAACCAATAGAATTAATATATGAATCAAACTTCTTGTACCACTGTCTAGAAGACTATTTTAAATCATATAAAGATTTTTTAAGAAAACACACACGATTAGGTTTATTTTTATCTTCGAAACTTTTGGGTTGATACATTAAATTTTTTCCATCAAGGTCACCATGAAAAAAATCGTTTTTACATCAAGTTATTCAAGTTCCTAATCATAATGACCAATAGATGCAAGCATGACTATAATAATAGTATACTTAACAACGAGCCAAAAAAATCTCATTTTAGTCTCCATTTCCTTTTGTGTGTATCCCTTGACTACTAACCTAACCTTATATCTCGTGGCTTACTAGTAGTAGTTCCCTCATTCACCTTGTAAAGCTACTGACTTCCACAATTGATTTATCCTTAGGTTTAGGTGCTAATTCCTAAATTTGATTCTTATCAATAGAACTTATCTTGTCTCTCATGACACTCATTCATTCCTTACACTCTCATAGCCTCCTTATAGGTATTTGGTTTCTTATCAACTAGTTCATGATAACTAATAGTATAGGCAAAATATGGTGTATTTAGACATCCTTTAGGTCCCTACATGGTCTTCTCTCTTTATCTCTAGCTAACTGTTACATAGCTAAGGGTTATGGTCAGCAGGATGTTTCTCAATCACATCCTCTTCTCTTTCTAATTATGTCTTGCTAATTTGTCGTGGATTATTCTCTAACTCACTCTTGGTGATGGGATGTGAATTATTACTTTCTCCACTTCAACTAGAGACTCATCCCTAGTGATCTCTTGGTGTTTTTCACTCTCTAAGTAAGGCATCTCTGACTTAATAAAGGTGACGTCCCTACTAATGAATATTTTCACACTGTGCTGGCTTCTATCCCTCCTGGTAGCCTAGAAAGACACATTTTCTAGCTATAAGTTCAAATTTTCCCTCACTCTGATAGAAAAATAGCACATCCAAATTTTCTAAGTAAGAACAATCGACACATTTACCGCGCTACTTTTTGTAAGGAGTGTCACCATTTAAAACAATGAACTGAGATGTAATAGTCGAATTGCATGCCTCGTAACAGCTTCATCCCAAAACGATTTAGGCACACTAGAACTTATTATCATAAATCTAACTTTATCAAGTAAAGTATGATTTATAATTTCAGTACCCATTTTGTTAGGTAGTGTAAGGCATGGTCTTATAGATAGTAATACCACAATCATTATACAAATTATCAAAATTTGAATTGTAGAATTCAAGACCATTATCTATTCTGAAATATTTCACCTTTTTACCTATCGGGTTTTCCACCAGAACTTTTCAGCTTTTAAATTATCTAAAATTTTTAGATTTTTCTTTTAACAAATAAACCCACGCACGTATGAAGAAATCATCAATAACATATAAAAAATATTTGTTACCACCAAAAGTGGGATATCTCCCAGAGCTCCATAGATCTGCATGAATGTATTTTAACACTCTATATATTTTGTGTGTGCTAGATGAAAATGACATACTACGATATTTACCAAGTACACAATGATTACAAACATACATGTTAGACACCAAATCCTTACTAAACACGCCTTTATCGTTAATGAACTTAAGTCCATTAACAATAATATAAGCTATGTGTGATGAGTGTCAATAGAAATAATTGTTGAACTTAGACCAGTTACCACTTCAGCATGCATAATGTAAACGCCATTTTTTCTAATGACCTTAAAGGCTCTAAGTGTACCCTTAAACATTTTAATCATGCCATTACAGCCAATGTCAATGTATGTGGAATGTACCTAACATCCCTCAATGTATACACAAAGCCACGGTCAAATTTAGCAGTTTAATTTCCAACATCAGTCGTGTTATATGAGACTCCACCACATGTGACAACATGGCCATGATCATATTCATACAAATGATCAAACTAATGTTTATTAGATGTAACATGAAAAACTGTACCGAAGTCAAGAATCCGTTCGTCAATATGGGAGGGAGTTCATAGACATGTTAATCTCACCAGGCTCTTTTTGGGTACCACTACATTTGCCTCACTTTGATCTTTTTCTCTCGTCTCTATGTTTGTTTTTCTCCTTATAGCAGTTACCAATAAAGTGTCCTAGTTACCCACAATTATGGTTTTATCCTCTTCAGACACTTTTTTCTTTCAATTTGTAATGTCTTGAACAAATTTATTAAAAACGTTAAGATTGTCATCCCATTCCTTAGAGGGATCAATTCCAAAGCTAAAGAAACTTTCAAACAAGAAAAGTTCATTTTGAGTGGACTATTTAAAACAAAAACTCTTCCAACTTTTTTTGAAGTTTTTTAGTGGAATCATGTTTACCAACTATTCGCAAAAAAAAGTCAGATAAATGCAAGATGATAGAAGTATATCCAAGTTCCTTATATTCCTTTATATGTTCCTCATTTACAGTATTAGAAAAAGAGTTATTAATGGCTTTTGACACTTTTTGTTGTACTAAAATATCTTTAATTTTCTGTTATCAAATTAAAAAATCACATTTTTCATTAAAGGCGCACAAACCAAAATGATGTGTAGACATCTCAACATATAAGATGCGCTTTGAATAAGTACCTCAAAGACAATCATACATAGAATCTTAATATACACCATCCTAGATTTCTAGAGTATCATGAGATTCATGATCTCAGATGAAGGGAATTGTCAAACGAGTAAGGCTTATGTGATAATTCTAACAAAATAAATAATGCAACAGAATTATAAATCACAAATAGTCAAAATGGAAAAATAACAATTATATTATAAATAATATGCAAGTATTTCCTATATTCTAGCAAAAAGAAATGGTTACCCCACACAATAACCTCAAAGACTAATAGTCACCCTATACAATGGCTTGCTAATACTATAAAAAGGATAAGCCAATTTATCGAGCGAGCTAGAGCTATGGGTTCATAAATAAGGAGAGATGAGAATTAAATGCTTTAAGGCCACGACTATCCGCCCTAAAGCTTCTAGTAATTACAGTAACATGATCAGCAA